ATATATATATATATATAATATATAATATATATATATATATATATATATATATATATATATATATATATATATATATATATATATATATATATATATATATATATATATATATCCATATCTATTGAAACTGAAATAAAATATATGTACATGAAGTTTCCTGATCAAGATAAACAGATTGTTTCTAACATCTTACAATGAGTAGAACTAACTTGAAAAAGATGTTAAGAAAATGTGTATTTTGATACGATTAACCGGTTAATCGATCGGAACGTCTTGCGGTTAACCGATTAGCAATTCTGAAATCGATTGCCATCCCTAATATATATATATATATATATATATATATATATATATATATATATATATATATATATATATATATATATATATATATATATATATATATATGGGCCTATTATATATTCCTAAGTATAACTGGCAACACCAGGATATGGCCATGTAATGATACTATATATATCATGAGCAGAGTGGCTTTTATAAAACCGTGTTGCTTATACGGTATACCTCCACAGTAATAGAAAATATATAATATGAAAATATTATCACTGTTTCCCAAAGTTTTTTTATTAGTCGATTTACAGATTGAGGATTGGATTCATTTTGACCTAGCTACCTTGTTTTCCACCATTTTGGAACATTAATATTTGTAAGGTTGTATGTTAAATAAGATATTTTGACAGGACTAAGTGAGCTTCAAATAGGGATATATATTATTGAAAACAGCTATTTTAAATGTATTGGATTTTTGTGTGTATAAAATAAACCCACATACACAGACAAACAAATCATAATTTATTAAGCCTTATGAAAAGGCCACAGGTTAATAAATAAAAAGTCTATACTATATAAGTATTTCAATCAATTAAAGTTCTTACTAAGGACATGAAGTAGAAGAGACAAAAGATTGCTCTACTTTTCCAGGCAAAATTCACCTTTATGGATAACAATATAAACTAATAAAGTAAATTCATTAACAATACCCCCCCCCCCCCCTTCACTCACTTGGGGTGCTTACTGAAAATTTGATTAAAACTGTAAACCCATGGTAAAATTCATATCAGTGAGACAAAATCATTAAAACCTATGCTTATACATATATTAAATCATAATACTGATGCCATCTCATGGCCGTAGGAACCGGGGGGGGGGGGGGGGGCGGGGGGGGGGGCGGGGCACGCCCCCCCCACCCCAATAATTTTTCCGATATATAGACTACAATAAAAAACATAGGTACTATATGCTTGTGCCCCCTCAATAAAAACGCCTGATGACCTTTTTTCTTCTTTTTTTTTTTGCTTGTCAAGGAAATTTTGGTAGTTGATAGTGCCCCTCCAACTGAAAATGTATGGCTGTGCCCCCCCCCCCCCAAACTGAAATTGCTTCCTACGGGCCTGCATCTACAGTGTCCTTCACAAATGGCGAAATGTGGTGATAGAGGAAATTCGAGTAATGCTATCATTGATCTCTTTACAAGTGCTTCTACAAATATCCCTACTACATATATATATATTTATGCACATGTATGCATCTTCATTCTACTGCACTTCATTTTGCTATAGATCTTATAACTTACCAAATCATGATCATTGGGATACATGTGACATTTCCAGCCAGCCATATCTCGTGGAATGTTCCCGCGAACTTTCCTCGGCGTTGTGACGTAACGAGATTTTTTTTATTTAGTTTTTTTTTCCGGTTTCAAATTGATCATTTTAGATATAAAAAGAAATTAAATAATTTGAAAATCGATAAATAAAATAATTTTTATTTTATTTTTTCGAAGCGATGACCCCTGGCATTCAAGAGTTGATTTGCTGCTATTTACAACGTTCCTTTTAAAGATAATAATGGACCGTGGTATACTTTATATCACATTGTTAGCCTTTGCTAGTTGAAGCTAATAATATACCGTGGTAGACCGCACGGTCTAAAAGTCAGACTTTATGAGTCTTATAAGCATGCAGATAACACTAATAAGTTTGTTATAGTATCAGCTAATAAGTATCGGATCGGATGAGTCAATGCTTACTGTTGTTTTTTTTTTTTTTTTGTTTTTTTTCCCAATATTTTATCTCTATTTTATTTGTTAACAATATTCTTATTCATTTATACGTTGTCGCCCGCGTGGTGCAGTGGTTAGAGAGTCTGCTCTAAAGTCGCGGAGTAAGGAGTTGATCCTAACGTCGCGGGTTCGAATCCCACTGTGGGACGTGGAGACCGGTCCTTCGGATGAGACCGTATACACCGAGGTCCCGTATGGGTGCTGGTAGGTGCTGGCACGAATAAGACCCTTCACTGCTCAATGGCCCTGAGTGCCGGGCATATGTCAAAATTTACGGCTCTCCATCGGCAAGTGGTGGCGTTTCCATATGAGTGAAAAATTCTCGAGAGGGACGTTAAACAACAAAATCAAACAAACATTCATACGTTGGTAAGATACATATAAGTCACTCTGAAATCAATCCAAAACACACTAGAGAGTTTGACCCGTCCGTTCAATATTTTGTTGTTTTACTTGAGACATTGATGGAAGACTAACTTTATGACAATCATGATGACTTCAACTTTTATATTGTCGACTTTCCTGGTACACCAGTCGCCCGCGTGGCGCAGTGGTTAGAGCGTCTGTTCTAGAGTCGCGAAGTAAGGAGTTGATCCTAACGTCGCGGGTTCGAATCCCACTGTGGGACGTGGAGACCGGTCTTTCGGATGAGACCGTATAAACCGAGGTCCCGTGTCGCAGCTGTTGTTTGCACGAAAAAGATCCCTCACTGCTCAATGGCCGTTTGTGCCGAGTATAGGGCAAAATTTGCAGCTCTCCACCGGCAAGTGATGGCGTCTCTATATGAGTGAAAAATTCTCGAGAGGGACGTTAAACAACATAATATCAATCAATCTTAGAACACCATAATCATCTGCGTATGGCATTTATTTCTCCCTGATAATTCGATGCACAAGAGCATGTTTTGCGTATGATAACATTCTTAACTCGGTAAGCTACTGCCAAGTAAGTTGATATCAAAAGATATCAACAATATCCTGTATTGTCAACATTTTGGAAATACTATATAGTCGATACAATGATTTTGTTTCAAAATACAGTCTGTCTTTGCGTGTATCTTTTTTTTTAAATATTGATTGTTATTAATATTAATTGTTAGGCCATTATTAGTACTATGTAGAAATAATTATACAATATTCACATATGATATCTACTTGCATTAGCCATCAGTCATTCTGGTCATTTATGAAAAAAAAATTATCATTTTTCAATCAACATTATTAATTTAAAAACCATTAATATAAAAAATTCCAGATTTCTATCATTCATGGTCAAAACTTATGTTATAGAATATTATATATATATATATATATATATATATCGAGAAGTAAATTTTGCAATTTCATAATGCGAAAAAGAAGCTATTACAAACGATACTCAATTAATTGTTAGCCATTTTTATTGAAAAACAGCTGTCTACCATGTCAAAAAGCCTCGATTTTAATTCAATTCTAGTGACCTCAACACCCTTGCTAATAATGCAAAACTTGAATCCTCTCTAAAAATGCTGCTTATACTATATACATATATTAAATAAAGTGCATAATTATATTATGAACATCTTTTAAAATGAAGTTTAACGTCAATTTAAAGGTCACAAAGTCAGCCCGGTTTTTGTAAGGTGTATTCAGCGTAATCATATTCAAGCTCAGTATTAAAACAACGATCCAACAAATGGGATGAAACATGTCAGCCAAAATACGACCGAAGTTAATTTGCAAACAAGGTCATTATAACGACCACGGAATTTTCAATATGCTGACTTTAAACGAGGTTGTTTACATTCCTTTAACATCAACTCTTTTGTCAGTAGCCTGCCTCGTTTGATTAATTGATCGTTCTCAGACAATGCACTTTTGTATCAAATCAGAACACAACACCATTCACCATTTCCATTCACAACAATGGTCAGAAAATTTTATTTAATATGCAAAAAAATGTTTTTATTCAAACTTACATACATCAGAAAACATTACTAATTCTATTCTTTGGATGAAATATATGGAGAAAACGAACAGTATTCAAGCTCAAAAGTCCATTAAACATTACAAAATAGGAGCAGAGTAAACACGGACCTCCAAAACATCAGAGGTGGGATCAGGTGCCATGGAGGAGTGAGCATCCCTGCCGGCCGGTCACACCCGTCGTGTGCTCCTTGTCGTGATCGGGAAATGATCGACAATTCAGTGTGTAATTAATGGCCTAACAATTAGTATGAAAAACGTCAGTCAGCATTTGACTCAATGATAAATTGTACTTGCTGACAAGGTCATTGTATCGACCATAGAACTTACGAATTGATGACTTTAAACGAGACTGCTGACATTCTTGTTTCATCAACTTGTTTGTCAATAATTTTCCTCGTTTCAGAAATTGTACATACGTACAGCATGCTCTTGCGTATCGAATCAACTTAGAGATATAAACCCCGTATGCAGGTGATGAAGGTATATTGCTGCATAAGTAAGGGACGTTGACGATTGAAAAGTTAAAGTCATCACGTTTATCATAAAGCTTGGTTGTTAGATTACCATTAACGTCTTTTTCAAGTAAAATATCCAAATATGAAACAGATGTGTCAGACTCTGTGATATCTTTTATCTCAAGCTCACTGGGATATATCGTATCGACGTAAGAGTGGAAATAACCATTGTTAATTGACAATACATCGTTGATATATCTAACTGTCGAGTTGAAGGCCACACCAAGTGTTTTCTTCTTTTCATGTATAAGATTTTGGACAAATTCTGCTTCATATGAATACAAAAAAGATCTGCTAATAACGGGGCTTTAATTAACTTTATTACACAAAAATGATGATTCTATACATTAAGAAAAAGAGCTCATCCCTGTCTTTCATTTGATAATTATCATTCTTGTCGTCAATTCTGGAATATGCTTTATGACATTCTGTTTCTAAAAAGGTGTAAGATGAGGTAAAGTATATGGTCTTTTCTCCACTCTTGTTCCCTGTTAAAACAATGAAATTTCTAATCAGAGAAAGAAAATGTTAAGGCATGATATTATTTTTTTTAATTGTAGTTCTGACCATTAAGATAACCTACAACATATATGTAAAATGAGTTATAATTCATCTGTCTTTTAAAAAAATGGAAATCATTTGAAGTTTAAAGACGGTTAAAGCTTTTCAGATCTCTTTTTGGAAAAATGCGATTAAGGAATTTAAAAAATGCACCAGAAGGAATTTTCAGAATCAGGGCTGATGAATAATGTATACAGGATTGTGTTCGCCCCTAGTTATTTTCGCTCTTTTACACTTGCAAACAATTTTACCCTGTTTCTGATTCGCCCAGAGAAAATTCTGTCTTCTCTGAGTTCGCCGATATTCAAAGAACTGCCAACGATGGTATTGTTCTCCCGCCTACCTCCAAGTCAATTTTCAAAAGATAACACATTTAAATGATTTTTCGTATCTATATAGATATTTATATAAATTTTCATAAAACATTACTGTTTTGGGAAAACAAAGAGAGATAACTCTATAATTTTGGTGAAACTTGAGTTTTTCACTATAGAAATCAACGGAAAACGAAAAATATTTTTAAAACATCTCCCCCCCCCCCCCCCCCGTGAAACAAAAATTTCTTTTACAGGTAATATGGACTGTCATTTCGCAAATTCATACTAAACTTTTTTGTGTTTCATTGGGGGACATATGGTTACAGACAAAAAACTACAAAAATGCTTATTTTTTCACCAATTTCAAAGGGGTTTACAACTAAAATATTGTATTTTATTGATAAAATATGTTTAATTTTATGTGTAAAACATAAGAAAAGATTCAAGTATTATTTATTCATATCCAAGAATATTTTGAAATGTGGTGATGCTTTAAAGCCCGATTTCAATGAAAAATAACGTTTATCTCCCTTATTCAAAGAGCTGGAATTAGGGGTAATTAACTATTTAACACTGGTATTAAAATTATCAGTCAATTACCATTGAACTGTTCTTTGTATTCAACAAATATTTTACGGCCAAATTGCCATTAGTATTGAATTAAATGGGTGTAAAATATAGGCGGGAATCTCGAGTTAGCGTGCGTAGTTCTTCGCTCACTTGCGGAAGGGGGCAATGAAACGGACAAATATTTCCCGTATACAGTATTATGCCTTACAGTCACAATGTTCCTTCAGACAGATTGTTTAGATATCTTCGGTAGGATAGACACAGTATCATGCCAGCAGGAACTTCTGTTTAGTTGCCTTAAATAGTTGGAGTTTCTAAATCATGGGTTTCCGATGATAAAAATGTAAATTTAAAGGGAGATAACCTTGAAACTGACACATTACTTGTGATTAATCGTTTTTGTTTCATCCATAATCTATAAATTGAGATTTAAAAATGTCGCTACTGAAATTATTATCAACAAAATTGTCACACGCGTGGCGCAGTGGCTAGAGCATTTGTTTTAGATTCGAGGAGTAAGGAGTTGATCCTAACGCCGGTGGTTCCAATCCCACGGCGAGACGTGGAGAGCGGTACTACGGATGAGACTGTATAAACCGAGATCCCATGTTGCAGTAGGTATTTGCACGAAAAGGATCTCCCACTGCTTAATGGCCCTGAGTGCCGAGTAAAGGTCTAATTTTGCAGCTCTCCATCGGAAAGTGGTGGGTCTCTATATGAGTGAAATTCTCCAGATTAACAAACAAAAATCAACAAAGCAAATTTGAAAAAAAAACAGACGAAAAAATTACCGTTTTAAAACAGATTTTGGATGGTGTAAAGATGGAAGCATCTTTAATTCCCATTGTCGTTTTGTAGAAAATCCACATATATTGGCCATCTACGAAAAAAATGTCATATGATTATTATTTAGTACCTGCTTATAGAAAAATTCAAAAGAGTTAACCGTGCTTTCTTCCTTTTTTTTAAATTGTCTAAAAATTCAGATAAAAGTTTAAAGCATCATTCACTAAATGCGCCATTTTCTTTTTTCTATGCATTTGTTTAATTGACATTCTTCCCCAGCTTAGGAATACAAAATGTAAGATTTAAAAAAAAAAAAAACTTCCCGTGACCAAAATGTACCTTATGACTAAAACCCATTAGATAGAGTTAACATGCTATAAGATACACTATAGCATAACAGAATATTTACCAGGTTGGGGGATCTCAAAGGTGGCTTGAACATATTCTACTAGAGTACAGTTTGGTCCCACGGAGAGGAGTTTTGTCCAACTGCCAACCATGAACATGTACGTATCCACTTTAATTGTGTTAGGTGAAACACCCACAAATGATTGCCTGACTAATTTGGCTCTAGCTGAAATGTATAAGATAAGGCCATTAAAAGTTATTGCAATTTTGTTATTTTATAATAATGTCAAAATTGTTACCTTCGCTCATAATGATATATACTTCATTAGATTTCATACCAATCTTACAAGAAAAGTGTCTAAAAACTTCAAGTTAAACAATGAATGTGATTTGTTATGGAAAATTATTGAAGACAAAATCTTAGAATATTTTAAATTAGTATTAAGATACATTTTTCTCCTCATTAGAAAAAGATATGCCAAACAGGATCAACCTTGACAATGTATTCTTTTATCTAATTATCTAATTTGAATTCTATAGCTAGGTCATCAATGATATTGCAAGAATCTTTAAAACTCACAAGTTCTGGGAAATTTTCGAATAATTTTCCAAAGGTTTATGATTTCCTATTATTTACGAAGCGCCCGACACTTTGACAGGACTAAATCTCTCTGAGAGATCATATATACATTTACTCGAACTGACCACGATAGGAATGATTGTTTTAATTAATAAATACATTTATTAGTTTCTGATTTAAGATTTGTTGCTCTAACCGATTTCTCTCTTCTTTATATGCGTTTAACTTCTCTTTACAAACAATATAGTTTCTAGCTGAAAAAAGGTGAATTTCATGGCGATTCAAAGTTACACTTAATTTGTTCTACATGTAATATTTTCATTAGAATACTTTTTTAGTTTAAAACTTACAGCTGCAAAATCATCTATTCGGTCGTACTCGTCTTCCTTGGATTCAGTCACGACATGTGTTTCTGTTCTCCGAGACTTAGCATCATATGAATACATCTAAAGAAACGTACAAAACGTAAACAATATATTATTATAAACCATGGTTCACAGACCATGTGCAAATATAAAAAAAAGACCTAACCAGATAAATACAGGTACAGAAAAAATATGTACAAACTTGTACAGAACATTAAATATATTCATTTAAAGTACATAAATTAAATGTAAACATTCACAATACCTAAGCCAGCACTGTGAACGAAAACGTCGGATGAATACATTGTAAAATGGCTTTCCTCGGTCGTTTTCCTCAACTTTTCACCTTAAACTCTCAATAGAGATTGTTCTATCTGACGTATCCGTATACGTATCCGTATCCGCATACGTATCGAGGTATGAGAGGCATCTCGATCCCGATGATTTAACCGTTGGGTAACATTTCCATCGTTTCTTGTTTGATTTTATCCTCATTCATTGGAAAATAATATTTCTGATGAAACGTATCAAGTTGCTGTTCACACCTATCATTTTATGGAAGGATTTTTAAAAAATAAAATTAGTAAAAAATATATGTATATTTTTATTAAATTGTTTAAAAATAAAAAAGGTTCAAAAAGGGACTCATCCCCCTTCTCTCTCTCTCTCTCTCTCTCTCTCTCAATATCAGGATGTATAATTGTTTCATTCTCGAAGTAACCTTTACCAGTACAAGACATATTCCCCATAATGCATACAGTCAACGCTCGTTATCTCAAACTTGATTGGACCAATTCAAACTTCGATATATCCAAGGATTTGGGTTAACAAAGTTTAACTGTACGAGGTGTCAGAGGTCAAACATTCTAGATGAGTATAAGTTTGTCTACATCAAGCAGACACTTAAAATTGATTAACAAAGGGGAGAAGGGGGAAGCTGGGCCGAGGCAGGGAGAAACCAAAAAATGACAAGTCACCTTAGCAAAACTTTGACAATAAAAAGGTGTAGAAATTAATCAAACTCTTAAAAAACCTATTTCTGGGTATGTGTGTGTGTGTGGGGGGGGGGGGGAGGGGGCAAGGATATTGAATTTCTCTTTTCCACAAAAATAATTACGGATACATTAACTGTGAAAGATTAATTTGACCATACTGCATACTCTGTGAGTGTGTGTGTGTGTGTGTGGGGGGGGGGGGGCACTTAAGATTTCCATCCTCACTTTCTCATTTTCTTTTTTATCATTATCAACATTCTGTATATCATTTGATTATATTTGATGGACATAGTTCTGCAGAAAAGCTTTGGAAAGCTGGCACTTCTGGGGTGGTTTGAAGACTCTAAATTCCCTAAATTGTTAGGTGATAGCCGTATCCGAAATCCCAGAGTGCTTGAGAAAGGACTACCATTTCCGAAAGTGATGCAATTACACGCATTTTTTGTCGGGGATGAATTAACAATTGTCGATAAAAGGAGATAAACGGAGAAAAATTTTTTATGTCTTATACATTACTTTATTTAAATATTGACTAAAGTTTACTTAATGATTTATTTATTGAAATTAAGATGACTGTAACTCTTTGTGTACAAGCGGGATCAAAACTCTGAAAAAATGCTGATATTTTATCAATTAAATGTTTTGTATAAATTTTATCCTTTATTCTGTGTTTTTTATTTCTCTGCTACGTTGAAGCAGCCTCTTCTCTTCAATTCTATAAACTGCGTGTTGAATTGACTCACACTCGTCCCGATCTGGGCCAAAATGCATAAATAAATAAATAAAAATAAAAAAATAAATAAATAAAAATCAGCTGGATGGACAAGGTAGCATAGAAGAAATAGATAAATCTATTGTTTTGGCATTTTTTAGCCTAATGTTTCTTTTCTTTCTTATAAAAAGAGAGTTAAGATAATGAATACCCTATTCTGAAACAGTTTCTATATCAAACCATGAATTATAATA